AAAAAAAAAAAAAAAAAAAAAAACGCACAAACACACACATACAGAGAGAAATAAAAAGTAAACAAAGAAACCTACATACATACATACAAACAAGCCGGGGAGAAAAAAAAAATACAGGGGATATAGTAATAACAAGATCCACAAGAGAAAGTATATATATTTATATTTATATTTCTTTCTTTTTCGTTCTTGTTTATTATTATTATTATTATTATTATTATTATTATTATTATTATTTGCGAATATTTAATATAACGCTTGTGTTTAGAAGATTCCATGCTACGTCGTGGTCCATTGCTGCTCGCACCTTCTATTCCCCGCACGGCGTGGGATCCAGCCCACTTCAACACAAATTGGTCTGATAGCTACAGTAGTAGTATCGCTGACCGCAGACATTGGCCAGCAAAGCGCTGGTCGATTGGATTAGAGCCACGCACACCGCGTGATTGGCTGCAGTACTCCCGTCGAAATCTCGCCTACGCCTACAATGGAGCTCTCCGAGCATGTCAATCCCTACCAGAGATGCTTATGTATTATAAGGAAATGAAATTACGTGGGGTAAAGGTAGATGTGGATACGATGAATGTAATGCTTACACGAGCTGCACGGTATGAGAAGATACAAATGGATGATGTCTTTTTACTCTTTGATGAACTCACCGCATTGGGGGCACGGCCGGATATTGCTGCCGTGGAAACACTTCACACCGTCTTTGATCACAGTGCTGCCATGCCGCATGAGTGGCGTGAGGCTAGACGTCGACAATTGGTGGAATTATATAATCATCTCGCCGTGGAGGAAATTGAAAGACTCGCACCGCATCGAGTGGATCGACTGTTAAGAGAACAAATAAAACGTTATCGTGATAATTTACGTCCATTACGTGCAAGTCTTAGTCCATCTGTGTATCGTCGTTATATACATGCCACTTACTCTGCTGAAGTATTATTGGAGGAGGTAAATAACTTTTTATGGGAACTTGTAGAGAGTGATCACCCAGCGATGGATATTCCCTCACTGCAGATGCGTGTTCCATTTGTTGCCTCTGTGATGAAACGACCACCGGCGGATTCAGATGAGAAGAAAATAAAATTTACAGATTTTGAGGATACAGATGTTTGTTCTGTCTTTCTCGCCGCAGCGGAACGGGCAGTGGATATTGATTTTCACGATGTCCGACCGGTATCGGAGCGGCGTATGTTTCTTTCTCTTCTCACGATGCTTTCATATAGTGGTGTTCTCTACACTTCTGATTTAATGGCCCAACTGATGGAAATGGTGAAATACAGCAGTAATGATGCCGCACGAGATTCGGATGCGCAGCGACTATTACGATATGCAATTCGTGGTTCTAGTGCCGCACAGGATGAGGCGTATCGAACACTTTGGCGTAAAGTAGAGATGGTTGCGGATAGTCGAGTGGTGGGTCGATATATTAGTGCCCGGGATCCATGGAGTCCTATTCGTGTTTGTTTTGATGATCGGGGATTATTTAAATCTTACCCTATGTCTGTACGTGCCTCAGCAAAGAATAATAATAATAATAATAATAATAATAATAATAATAATAATAATAATAATAATAACACCTCTTCTTTAAGAGAGGATGAGAATAGTACGACAGCAGAACAACAACAACAACAAGATGCAACTGTACGAGGAATGGAAGATGAGGAAGGGGAAATGTCTGAAGGTGTTCGTGGGGCTATTGTTGCTGGAAGTGAGAAAACAGATAACGGTAGTAATACTGTAGTATCTTCTTCTTCATCTTCTTCTTCTGGTCGTGGTGGAGAACAGTGTACAGTGGAGGCGTTAGATATGCGTTGGAGTGATGTGCGGCGTCTTCTTGAACGTACCGGTGTTCTCACTCATCCACCGTCTGAGCGTCATCCCCAACAGGAGAAGATGGAAGTCTTTACGGGTATGGCTGTGTATCTACGCACCATTGCCACTGGGCGACGTTATCATGATAATAATGAGGATAGTAATAATAATAGTAATAGTGGTAGTGGAAGAAATGATAATGAGTTAATGATAGGAGCAGGTGGTAATAGTAGCCAAACAGTAGCCATGTTGAAGGAGCAACGAGCATTATATGCAGATGGATATACATTGGAATTATGGACAAGAGTCTTTCAACTCGTACAAGAGATACGTCAAGAGATGGAGAAATTTATAGCTGATAATGTAGACCACCATGTGGAGCCGGAGTTTGAATGTTGGGAATCTTTACTTATTACACTTCGATGTGTGTTAGACTTTTGTGTGGTGCGTATTCAAGATCGCAGCCATGCAGGAGAACGGACGGCGGCGGAACGTTTATTTCAAGACGCTGTGGCACTTCGCAATGAATTAATTGAAGAGAGCCGGACGAGATTTGATGGACGAATGAGAATTCTTTGGTTACAAGAGGCATAAACATAAACAATATATATATATATTCATGTTTATGTTTTTTTTTTTATGTTTCTTTATTTATTTCTCTTCTTGTTTCTTCTATGTTTGCGAATGTAGTTAGTGGTATTAATAATACTGTGCTGTGTGGGTGGGCGAAGAGTGGGTATGATTATGTGTTTTTATTTCTTTGATTTTAGAATCATGTTATCACTATCGCCGTTAGGGTTTTTTTTTTTTTCTTTTTGTTGTTATTATCCCTCTACACACAAACACACACGGACACACAGCTCTCTTCCTATGTTTATGGGTGAAGAAAGACAACTGTTGTTGAACCTTCCATCACATTTTCCCTATTTTAAGACTCTCTTTCTTGTGTTGTCCCATTTTTTAACTCTCTACAATATTATATATATGTATATTTGAGATTTTTCTTTATTAAATTCTTTCTTCTTTTCCGTTTCTTCTTTTTCACAATAAGTATCGTCCCTCCCTCTCTTTATCCTTTTTTTTTCTTTACATATATATATATATCAGTAGTCTATCTGTCTCTTTGTGTGTTTGTATTTATTTGTCAGTCTGGGAATATACACATAGAGAGAGATGTTAGGTCGACGACAACAGAATCAACAACAACAACAGCGGTATGATAGTGCTAATTTGCTGGAGGCGGGAGTTCCATTATTAACGCGATTCATGCCGTATCTTCCTATGATAATAAAAGTCGCAACAGGGGTGCCGGCGTTTTTTGTCGGGTTTATCCTCGCCTGTCTTTTCTTCTTAGTGGTTGGACGAGAGGCGCTGCGGTATGAATACGCCCCAGTGGCCGGATTTCACTTGTTGGCGTTGTTGTTGCTGCGGTCCCTCTTCACACCGTGGCGGGAGGGAAAAGAACGCGCGGCGGAAGTGCGGCGACGAGTGGCCGCGCAGCGGTCGTTTGTACGCGATGTGCAACTCCAATGGCGGGAAACATTGGATTGATAAGTGTTATCTATCTATCTATATATATATATATGTGAAGATGTTGTTGGTGTTAGTGTTAAGTGGAGGGAAAAGGAAAAAGAAGGAGAAAATAAAATGAAGAACGATGAATATTGTTTTTTCTGTTCTGTTCGTGTGATGGAGAATAGAAAAATTAAAAACCCCTATATATATATATATATACAGTGTTGTTATATGTGTTTATTATTATTATTTTTTTTTTCTTCTTTTTTCTCGTTCTTTATTATAGTATAACCTGTGAAAGGGAAGAGGGAATATTACAGTGAGGAAATAAGAAAGTAATAATAATATATATTTATATATCTATATTAGATACATCCTACTCCATCACTGTGTGATAAAAGGACTTGAGTAGACCATCAAGTAGAGGCCAAAAAAAAAAAAGAATAGAAAGGAAAAGGATTTACACACTAACTCCCATAAGAGCTCTTTATTTATTTATTTATTTATTGACAGAGAAGTAAAAAAAAAGAAAAAAAGTAAAATGTCACCATTTGGATGGATTTGTTATCTTCCACTCGTAACACTTCTTCTTCTTCTCTTGTGTGGTGTACAGGCGGAGATCCAACAGAGTGATACCGTTACTACAGTCTATGTACGGTATAATGAAGAAAACAATACTTTCTCTGCTACTGGTGATGTCTCTTTTGGTATTTTAGCCGCTACTGTGATTGTCAACAACAGTTTTTCCACAACTGGATGGGATGTTGTGCATGTACGCGCAGATGAGGCCTTTATACATTTACATGGACTCGATAATTACACACAACGGCAATTGGCATATCGGGCAATGGGATATGGAGAAGGATACGCTACACAGAAACAATTGGAGGCCACACTTTATAATAATTTTCTCGGTGCCGATGGTATTGCGGCTCTTATGAAAGAAGCACCGGTGTTGGTGGAGTGGATTGATACGCACTTGGCATTCATGGAGTCTCGTGTGAAGAAGAATAATGATGATGATATTGATACAGATAATGATAATGATGATAATGATAATGATGATAATGAAACTTATGGACAAGAACTTCAACAATTGTTGGCTTTAATGGATGGTATGGTGTTGGGATATAATGATCGTCTCCCTCATGGGGAAAATAAGTTAAATCGATCATGGTTATTTTATTTGAACTTTCAGGCAGAAATGGGAGATGTTCTCACCGCAAAGTTATCCTCCACCGCATTACAACAATTACGTGAACGAATGCCACGATTTCTCACCGATCTTCACTGCTCTGCATTAGTGAAAGTTGTAAAGAATGATATTTTCTTTTCTCACGTCACATGGAATTCTTTTAATTCCATGCTACGTCAATATAAAACATATCGTGTAGGAAGTCGCTTTGTTACCATGTCTACATATCCCGGCTTTATTCACAGTTTAGATGATTGGTATATGACCCATGCACGATTGGCCGTAATGGAAACGACTATTGGTGTATCGAATTCCTCCTTGATAAAAGAATATATTTCACCAGAGACCGTATCAGAGTTTCTACGTGTAATGATTGCGAATTTTCTTGCGGAAAGTAGTCCAGGTTGGGTACATATTTTCTCTCGTTATAACAGTGGAACATATAATAATCAATGGATGATATTAAATATGGCGAATGTATATAATGAGAGTGGATTATTACTTCCATCCGATACCTTTTGGGTGGCAGAACAATTACCAGGCAATACATATCCCGTTGGAATTACCGCAGCCGATATGTCTGCTCATTTAAATCGATATGGATATTGGGCCAGTTATAATTTGCCTTATTTTGAAAATGTTTATTCTCTTTCTGGTACAGGAAAGATGAAGGAGATGTATGGAGATTTCTTTTCTTACACGGAATGTCCACGAGCAAAGATGTTTGCACGTAATCACAGTGATGTGAAGAATTTGGAGAGTATGAAAGGTGTGATGCGGTATAATAATTACAAAATGGATCCCTTATCTCTTATTCCAAATTGTACAGGTGCGGGATTAGATAATCATACATGTAATCCAGCCTTCAGTAGTATGTTAACAATTGCCTCTCGAGGAGATTTAAATCCAAAAGGAGATGAAAAGAATTACGGTCCATTATTTAAATACGTTGGCCATCGTGATCATGGAGCCACAGATGTGAAGATTGCCTCTTGGAGTGGAATGATAAATGAAGATGCGGATACCTTTATCGCCCATGTGATCTGTGGACCCACAAATGATCAACAACCAACATTTGAATGGAGCGATGATCTCTTTGATCCCATGCCGCCTTTATATGGAATTCCGAAAGTTTATAATTTTCCATTTATGACCTTCACAACGTACGCCCCGCGGCCACACTCGGATGAACCAACAGATGATGAAGATGTGTGTAATGAGTGGATTGGCATCGGTGTAGCGGCAGGAGCAGCCACTTTGGTGATTGCTGCTATTGGGATTCTTTTCTATCGCGCGGATAAGGAGAATAAAGAGAGACGACGGGTTGTAGAAGCAGATGCATTACTCTCCAATTAATTAATTAATTAATGGATTGATTGATCGAACGATTGTGTTTTCTTTCTTTTTTTCTTTCTTTTTTTTTCTTTTTCTATAAAGGTTAAACCGTAAAAATAACAACACAGTGAGGGAAGTACAATACAACGGTTTATTATTATTATTATTACTACTACTACTACTACTACTAGTGATAATATTATTGTTTTTACTGTTATTATTATTATTGTTTTAGTAAGACGCGTTTTGTTTATTTTTATTTTATTTTCTTCCTTTATTTACGCGTATATTCCCCTCTCTCCCCCCCCCTTTCGGGCTGACTTGTGGAACTTTTTACTGTCTCTCTTTTTTTTTATTTTTTTTTCTTTATTACGCTCCTGATCATTCCCTCGTATATATATATATATATATATATATATATAGGGGATAAGTGAAATCCGGAGTAATAGAAAGAAAAAAAAAAAGTGATCGTGTAGAAGTTCTGTGTATATGTACAGTGCCGTAAGGAAAGGTAAAACAGAGAAATAGAAAAGAAAAAGAAAACAAAAACAAAAAGAAGTGTGTATTATTTCTCTTGTAGGGAGAGAAGCTGTGTATGTGTGTGTATGTGTAAGAGGGAGAGAGAGATATTCCCTTCATATATATATATATATATATATATATATATATATACATTCATCCAGAAGAACATATTCCCCCATAAGAACACATTCCCCCATAAGAACACATTCCCCCATAAGAACACATTCCCCCA